GGTGGATCGGCAGTGTGCGGGGCCGACGCTCTCATCAGATAAGGAGTTCTTCAGGGTCTGAAGCCTCCTGGGCGAATTCCTGAACCGACCCCCCACCGTAGGTTTCACGAGCTCCGATGCATGTGGCGTGTGCTTCGTGTGCGTTCAACGTCCACATGTATGTGATATTTGTGTTCATATAGGTCGCTGGTTTATGCTAAATATCGATGTTTTATATCTACGGTTAGGTCTACATATAGGTTTGTAAATACATGTAGATATGTATGTGTTTCATGTTTGGTTAGGTGTTGTATAGCACGATAGGTTTGGTATCTAAATATAGCACCGAGGTTAGGTATATACATTCCAGATAGATTGAAACGTATACGGTTCTATTTTTTAGCGCGCGGATAGCACGATGAAGGTCAGGGTTTGAACAGGTGGCACCATATTGCCGAGAACGGAGCCGCGAGTTGGAACAATTCGTTTTAAAAAAGTACCTCGTCGGCCCAGTCGGCATGTGGCATGGAAGTCATTGCGTTGCGCAGCTGGCTCGAGCGGAACGCGTCGCTACGGGCTACAGGGTGACTCGCCGTAAAATCTGCGCACTGGCAGACCGGGCTGAAAATGGGGTAGATTCGCGTTTCCAGGCCGCAGCTTCAAAATTGGCCATGAAAGCTCTTTGCCGGCGCCCGTGCTGTCTCCCGCGAAAGCTGCGCAGGTGGGGCTGTGAATTCTGTTCCGATGTGCTGGCTGGCCGGGTGTCGAGGGCAGTCCACATCGTGCACGCTAGGTGTCCGCCGAGGACTGCGTCCGCACATTTCCGCACAATGCGCAAACGTTGGGTGACAATGCGCAGGATGAGACATGTCGCGGCTACGGCAGCAGTTGCGGCCGAGGCTTCGCGTTGCTTGCTGAGTTGCCCGGTACGCTGCGACAGTGTAGAATACTATTGTTCTTGCCCAGTGGTTTGGGACGTGCTGAATTCGGGCAAGCCTACAGGTTTTCGGGTGGACCAGCTGGCTGCGATATGTGTTCCCAACCATCCTGTGGTGTTGGGTCCTCGTTTTGAAGAGACGGTCCCCGCGTCTCCTCCTCTCCTCTCTTCCTCCCCCTGTTCCCTCCTCACGTCGCCCCCGCCACTTTGGCACACCCCTCACACGCTTCGTGGCCCCATATGGAGCTCCACCCAAGGCCCCAGCGGAGACGTTCACATGCCGCCCCCCCCTCCACGTTGCCACACCCCTCACATGTTTCGTGGCCCCACAGGGAGCTCCACCCATGCCCCAGTGGCTGCGTTCACATGCCGCCCCCCTGCACTCTTGGCACACCCCTCACACGTTTCGTGGCCCCATAGGGAGCTCCACCCAAGGCCCCAGACGCGGCGTTCACATGCCCCCCCCTGCACTTTGGCACGCCCCTCACACGTTTCGTGGCCCCATTGGGAACTCCACCCAAGGCCCCAGTGGCTGCGTTCACATGCTGCCCCCCCTCCACTTTGCCACACCCTTCACACGTTTCGTGGCCCCATACGGAGCTCCTCCCAAGGCCCCAGTGGATGCGTTCAAATGGCGCCCCCCCTCCACTTTATCGCACCCCTCACACGTTTCGTGGCCACATAGGGAGCTCCACCCAAGGCCCCAGAGGAGGCGTTCACATGCCGCCCGTCCTCCTTGTTGGCAAGCCCCTCACACGCTTCGTGGCCCCATAGGGAGCTCCACCCAAGACCCCACTGGCTGCGTTCATATGCCGCCCCCTCTCCACTGGCACACCCCTCACACGTTTCGTGGCCTCACAGGAGCTCCACCCAAGGCCCCAGTGGATGCGTTCACATGCTGCCCCCCTCCACTTTATCACACCCCTCACACGCTTCGTGGCCCCATTGGGAGCTCCACCCAAGGCCCCAGTGGCTGCGTTCACATGCCGCCCGCCCTCCTTTTTGGCAAACCCCTCAAACGTTTCGTGGCCTCATATGGAACTCCACCCAAGACCCCACTGGCTGCGTTCATATGCCGTCCCCTCTCCACCTTGGCAAACCCCTCACACGTTTGGTGGCCTCATAGGGAGCTCCACCCAAGACCCATATGCCGCCCCCACTCCACTTTGGCACACCCTTCACACGCTTCGTGGCCCCATAGGGAGCTCCACCCAAGGCCCCAATGGCTGCGTTCACATGGCGCCCCCCTCCACTTTGGCACACCCCTCACACGTTTCGTGGCCTCACAGGGAGCTCCACCCAAGGCCCCAGTGGCTGCTCTCACCTGTCGACCCCCCCTCTACTTTGGCACGCACCTCACACGTTTCGTGGCCTCATTGGGCGCTCCACCCAAGGACCCAGTGGCTGCGTTCTCATGCCGCGCCCCTTCCATTCCGGCACACCCTCACACAGTGGCGGTGTCCGCATGTATTCCCCCCACCCAGTATAGCGCTCCATGGCCACATAGGGAGCTCCACCGAAGGCCCCAGTGGCGGTGTCCGCATGCGTTTCCCCTACCCAGTACGGCGCTTCGTGGCCTCACAGGGCGCTCCACCAAATGCCCCAGTGACGGTGTCCGCATGCGTTTTGCTCACCCAGTACATCGTTTCGTTTCCCTAAGGGAGCCCCACCAAGGGTCCCAGTGGCGGTGTTCGCATGCGTTTCCTCCACCCAGCACAACTTTTCGTGGCCCCACAGGGAGCTCCACCAGAGGCTCCAGTGGCAGTGTTCGCATGCGTCTCACCCACCCACTACCGCGCTTCGTGGCCCCATAGGGAGCCGAAGGCCCCAGTGTCCGCATGCGTTACCTCCACCCAGTGCAACGTTGCGTGGCCCCACAGGGAGCTCCACCGAAGGCCCCGTGGCGGTGTTCGCATGCGTCTCCACCACCCTTCGTGGCCCCATAGGGAGCTCCACCCAAGGCCCCAGTGGCGGTGTTCGCATGCGTCCCCCCACCCAGTACAGCACTTCGTAGCCCCATAAGGAGCTCCACCCAAGGCCCCAGTGGCGGTGTTCGCATGCGTCTCCCCCACTCAGTACAGCGCTTCGTGGCCCCATAGGGCGCTCCACTGAAGGCCCCAGTGGCGATATTCGCATGGCGGCCCCGCGCCATTTCGGCACACCCATTATGCGTTTCGTGGCTCCATATGGAGCGCCAACGGAGGCCCCAATAGCCGCGCCCAAGTGCGTCCCCGACCCATTTCGGCGCACCCTTTACACGCTTCGCGGCCCCACAAAGACATCCGCCGACGGCGATGCCCACAACGGCGATAGTCAGAACTCATGTGGTTGGGTTTTTCGCCAGGGTAATTTTTCCTGGACGACAGATGCACAGAAAAGGACATCGTACGAGTTGCGCTGGCAATCTACGAGGTGTACCGCACAACGGAGCTTCGATCGATCCGGAAGTTCCTAACCAGATGGATCAAACAAACGATGTGTTGAGAATTCCTAAGGCGCGCGGGTTGCTGAGCGGGGCCTCGTGACGCTAAGCCTTTTGTTTTTGTCGGTTTCTTGTCCTGTCTTTCCCGTTTCCGTTGCAATCTGACTATGATGTGCACGTGTCTGATTAATTAAATCCATTCTTGCATCAGTTCAAGAAGGTATGAAGTGACATATGTTCGCTGCCGTCGCAAAGCCTATTCTCACCGGAGACTGCTTCTACTGACCACCAGACTCTTTGGACGAGTTCAAGCATGAAGTTCTACTTTGCCTGAACGCTGTGCGGGAGAAAAAATTGGCCTGGGGCCTGGCGGGGGCCCCCCGAGGCCGAGAAACGGACAACAACCTTTCGTCGTGATTGATTCTCGACGCGAGCATGTTTGGGTCCACGTCCAGGGTTCCGCGGGATCCTCGGGGGCGCGGCTGGAGAGTTCCTGGGCGCGGGACTTCTATGCCCCGAAGCTGGGCAGCTACGCCGCGCTCGCCGGGACCGACTGCTCGCGCACGCTCGCCACTTTCTCCATGGAGGAGGAGGACGTTCGGAGCCACGACCTGTCGACTCTCGACGAAAGCGAGTGGGGCGTCCTGTTCGACTACATCTCAGGGCGGCGAAGGCCGCAGGGGTCTGCTCATCCGAAGGAGAGGTACCGACACCCCTACGCGTCCCTCGTCGGCACGGCTGGATCCCTCCCGACATCCTGGTCAGAACGCGCCCCTGGAGAGGTCCGGGGAGTTGCGGGCTCGGCAGTTGGTGTTCCCCCGTCAGCGGCATTCGGCCCCACCTCTCTGGGGGTTGAACGGCGGGCCTCGCTGCCCCGTAGCCCTGGCCGCCCTGAGCATCGACAAGTTTGTCGACAAGTACCCCGTGGTCGGACGGCTCATAGACTGGAGCCCCGGGCCGGGGGTCACCTTCGAGTTCCTGAACGCGAAGGGCGGCTTCTCGCTGCGGCCCGTGCCCGCGCCGCCTCCCCCTCCGCGGGGCGAGCTCTGATCTGCAGCGGCGCCCTCCCTCCTCGCTCCATCGCTGGCCCGGCTGGCCCGGCTCGGCGCCGCAGGGGGTGGCGAGAGGGCCGGGCGGCCGCCGAGGTCGCGACCGGAGGACGGGCGCTTTGGGGCGGCTCGGGCGCCGCGGCGCGCCGCGGGGCCCTTGAGCGGCACCTGCCGGAGCGGACCCGGAGGATTGAGGAAAAGAGCGCGGGGCCAAAAACGGGGCTGGTTGCGTTGTCCGAGACCCCTTCGAGTCACAGCACATCACGACGGGATTTTCGGCTTTTTTCGGCTTTGGGGGGCCCTTCCTGGGCCTCGGGACCGTCAAGACACGACTCGGGATGAAACACTGGTCCACGGGAACGGGTCCAGACATCCGGGGGTCGACGTCACGAAAGATATCATGACGTCGGGGGTTTGGGGTGGGGGCCCGCGCGCCCGGAAAGCGCCGATTCGACGTGGGCCATTCTTGAGCAGTCTCGGCAGTTCGGCGTGAGTTGGGGCCCCATTGTGGCAGTTCGGGCCGTTGCGATGGGGAGGTGCCATGCGACCCTCGGCCAGGGTCTCCCGATGGGCATTGCCCGCAGCAAGGGCCCATGTAATGTCTCCCCTGCAGGTGCCTCCGGGCGCAGCCTGTGGGGCCTCGGCGCAAGGAGCGGTGCGAGGCCGCAGGGTCAGCCTGCCGACACTCCCACTCCGACCGCCTTCGGGTGGGCAACTGCTCGTATGCGAACGACGAGGGGCCGCACGAAGCATAGCAAGAAGGACTGCATAAACTACCTGACAGACAAGGACACTGGGGAGTCGATGGCCTTCTTCGCGCTGAGCCACATGACCGAGAAGAGATGGTTCAAGAGCGTCTTCGAGTACGGGGCTGCAATGAGGAAGTTCACTTCTCTCGGCCGGTATGACATTGCCTTGGAGTTGTGGAATGAGTTGCGAGCCAAAAACATAGACGCGGACGAGTTCACGTACGCAGCAGCACTTGCTGCCATGAACGTCGCGGAGGAAGACCCCAAAAAGGTCTGGAAGCCAGATCCCTACCGAAACTCCAAATTTAACTGGACGCGTGTTCGCTTGCAGTTGAATTATTGAGCATGTTTTGATGTGGATCCTAAACAATTAAGTCGGAGTCGGCCGACGTTCAGTCGGCGTTCGGTTTCCTCGAACATTGATTTCTCTGGCATATGGCCTCCAAAAGGTGCAAGAGTTGATCATGGAAATGGAGACGAACGTCGTCTTGCCCAACCGCTACGCGTCAGAGCAGGCACTGATGTCATTCAAGCGCGCGGGGATGTGGCAGGAGTCTATCAACATTCTGAGCAAGATGTGGGAGAGCGGCGAGAATCCGGACGAGTTTGCGTATCAGGCGCTGGCATGTTTGTGATTGTCTCCTCGCAATTCCGCAGCGATCGGAGGCGCCTACGGCGAGAGTCACCGCCGCCCCCTGCTCCTCGTGGAACGGCGAGCTCGGCCGAAGGATGTGATCTTGCTGGTGTGTCCTGTGTTTCTCCAGCCGTTGAGGGACCTCGTGAGGGATATGATGGTTGCTGCAGGGAGTGTGGTGTCATGGCCATGCGATGTTGGAGGGCATCATGGCACCAGTTGCTGCCCTTATCAGACTGGAGGAGAGGTGGATGAGAGAGAGAGAGAGGGATAACATATAGCAATCAAGAACACTTGGGAGAGAGAGAAAGGGCGAGATAGAGTGAAAGAGAGAAAGCAAGAGAGAAACATAGAGAGAGAGAGAGAAAAAAAAAGACAAAGAGAGAGAGAGAGAGAAAAAAAAAAAAAACAATAACATAACATACACATACATGCATACATACATGCATACATACAGACAGACAGACAGACAGACAGACAGACAGACAGACAGACAGACAGACAGACATACATAAAGTAGACACAAATAATTAGAGAGAGAGAGAGAAAGGAGCAGAAACAAACAAAAGGAGGAGAGGTAGATGCCGATGACGAGGAGGAAGAATATGAGGCCAGGTCTCCTGGAGGCCTCTTCAGGTATCTTGCGGGCCACCTTTCGAGCCTCGTCGGGGCCCTTGCGGAATCGTTTGGGGCACCCTGGGAGCCTCCTGGAGGACTCCTGGAGCTCTTGGGAGCCTTGTGGTCGCGTATGGGGAGTCTCTCGGGGCCTTTTGGGAGCTCATTGCGGTCTGGAGGCTCCTTTGGGGCCTCCTGGCGTCCTCTCGGGACCCTCGGGCCCCTTCAGAGCCTCTTTGGAGGCTGGTTGACCTTCCCTTGCTTGCGGGCCCATGATCTCAGATGAAACGAACTCTGAATGCTTCGCGTATCCCCACCAGGTAGCTCACCTACGTTCTCGCCTTCACCGAGTGGTCCACGCCGCAGGGCGTACACCGAATTCCCTGGCATTTTGCTCTGGGCTGCACGATGCTCGAGCTTCCCTGGGTGCCCGTCAGCCAGTCTGCCCTCACCTTGCTGCCCCAGCGGCCGCCTTGTGAGCTGGCCCGGCCGGCCTGTTCTGGGCCCTGCAGCTAATTAGGTCTGTTTCCGTGCCCCGGACAGCTTCTGTCGCCGCCTGCGCTCTTCGCTCGCGGCCGCGACCGAAGAAGTATCCCCATCAGCCCATCCAGGCACGATGCCCATGAGCTGTGTATGTAGGCGGGGAGGTGAGCAGATAGGGACAAACACAGGTAAGCATTTGGTGGAGGTGGAGACTCCGACGAGTCCCTTGGAGCCATCCTGGGACACTTTAGGAGGCCTGTTGGGCTGTGGTGGGGCCTTCTTGTGCCTCTCTTGCCATCTTAGAGCCCTCGAGCAAAACGGGCTGGTGTCCTCAATTCTGGTCTCCCCCTTCGGATGCGAAACATTTTGCCCTTGGGGCCCTCTTGAGACGCCCTTGGGGCGTGTTGGAACATCATTAGTGCCCTCCTGGGCCCTTCTTGGGGCTCTCTTGGCTCAGAGACCCATCGGAAGCGAAAAAGCGAGAGGACAACCATCACTGATCTTTCTTAAGTGAGTTTGGGGGCAGCCCCTTGGAGGGTTCCTTGAAGGGCTCCGAGGGCACTCTGAGACATCTTGGAGCCGTGCCTTCGGACCTCTCAGAGGTATGTGATCATCCTCGGCTAGATTGTCTCATCTCGGAGGGGGTGGAGGGAGGGAGAAACCCTCGTGCAAGAGTGCAGAGAAGCCATGTTATGCAACCTCTGCTCAGACGGTTGGTGGGATTGCCCTCACTAGGGTTGGCCAGAGGGGTTGGCCAGGAGGTTCGGCCGAAGCTTGGGCGAAGGGTTCCCACACATCCGGCGCTTCCACTCTTTCGAGACATGGCCCCCCGACGTCTCGACCACTTCCCTGGGATCGCTTCTTCTTCCCGAGTCGTTTTTGTTGACGGTTCCGAGGTTCCGTCTGTGTTCCGAGAGGCCGAAGACGATTCAATCGAGCAGTTCTTTATTCTTGCTTCGGGACGCCAGATGTATGGGTTGGTTGGGGTGGTCCGGCGGGTGGCCCAGGGCAGTTTTTCCCATACGTAGTCGTTTGCAGCACGTAGAGTGTTGGGTGCTCTTGGGAATTTCGTCGTCCATCTCTGAGCCCGTCCTGCGGCCTCGTGGGCAGGTTTGGATGCTGCGACGGCCAGAGAAGGCGAGGATCGCTGCAGGGGCCGGGCCGGGCGGTCGGCAACCGAGGGGCAGCAAGCGTTGGGGAAGCGAGCACTGCAGGAGCTGAAACATTTGAGGGCTCCTAGTGGTGCCCCTGGTGCTCTTAAATCAGGAGCGAAAGAAGGACGCACACGTACATGAATCCACGCTGTTTTCGAGATTTCGCATTGCGCGAATACGCGTATCACGCGGCCGGTCTCGCGGGTCAAGGGGCCGTGTTCATGTACATAGCTGGGCGCGTACGTCCTTTGTGGGCTCCCTATTGAAGGGACACTTTCGGGTCCCAAACGTGCTCCTTTCTTCGCCCTACCGTTGTTCACCTCACGCTGCGGACCGCCCGAGAAGGCCGGAAAGGCGAGGATCCGATCACCACTGGAACACCGTCAGAGTTTTTAGTGATTGGCCAAGCACGTGTAACGACTCACAGAAAGGTCAAGTCAGCCATTTTGGCGCCACCCTGGGAAACGTCGGAGCCATACGGGCCGCCATGAGGAAGGAGTTCTTCCCCCTGGGGGAGCCGAGGCGAGACGATCATCTCATCGTCATGCGGTATGTTCTGGGTGGGAGTTCTCTCTCTCTCTCTCTTTTTCTCTCTCTCTCTCTCTCGCTGAGTTCTCTGTGAGCTCTCTGCCTCTCTCGCTTGCCACAGGACTGCGCAGTGCTCGTGCTTCATGGCTGCCTGGCTGCTTGCACAGTCGATCGCTTTGTATATGCAGCTTCTCGCCTCTTTCTTCGGGGGAGGGAGAAGCGACACGACCACCACCAGGGGGGCCACCTCCAGCGAGGAGATCCACGATGCTTCCCCGAGCTTGAGGGAGGGGGGGACCACACCACCAAGGGAACCCTCCCCTGGCTCCGCCCGCTGGTGGCCCCTGATGGTGGTGGTGGTGGTGTCGCCTTTCCTTGTTCCTAGAGCTCCCCTCCCCCCCTCCCCGTTGTCTCTTTGGACCCCTCCCTCCACTCCTCCCTTCCCCCGCCCTTCCTCCCTCCACCCTCTCTTCCCCCCTCCCCGTCCCCCCCCCCGCCCTCCCTTTTACCCTTCACCGTCGATCGTTGTGTGTCTGCACCCCTCCCTCCCCTCCTCCACCGTCCCCATCCATCCCTCCAGCCACCCCGAACTGTTCCGCAGTGCAACTCAAGGCTAGGTCAGAGGTTCGGCGCCCCACACCGTGGCTACGCCTTCGCAACTGCCTGAACCCAAAAAGCTACGGTGATACAACATGTGTGATATGTGTAACATGTTGTTTGTTGTTGCCGTTGCTGTTGCTGTTGCTGTTGTTGTTGTCGTTGTCAGAGTCGTTGTCGTTGTCGTTGTCGTCGTTGTTGATGTTGCTGTTGTTGTTGCTGCTGTTGCTGTTGTTGTTGGTGGTGTTGTCGTTGTCGTCGTTGTTGTTGTTGTTGATGGTGGTGGTGGTGTTGGTGTTGGTGTTGGTGTTGTTGTTGCTGTTGCTGTCGTTGTTGAACATTATTTCTTCTAAAGAATAATTATTGTTGGGACCCCTGGTGCGCGACCCCCCCGCCGCGCCTAGGCCGCAGCCTCATTTTCATCATTTTCGTCAGGAAGTCTCAGGCAAAACGGGTTGGTCCGGATCCGGTTGTGTTGTTACGATCGGTTTTCCCTTGCAAAAAATAAGCTAAAGTGGACATTTCTTGTTCTAACATAACCAAACTTCAAGAATCCCTTGCAAAAAATAAGGTAAAGTGGACATTCGCGCGCGCAAGACGAAATCCTTCCAAAACCTTAGTGTTCGCAGCGATTTTAACATAAAAACATCAAAAAACAATGGTTTTTCAACAAAAAAATTGTCAAAATCTCATCCCGCGCGCTCTTGCGGATTCGTAGGAAACCCAACACTTTTTAAACATTTCTGTCAAACGGGCTTTTGCGAGCAACTTTTTCGAACTTCTGCGACAACGGTTGCGCACCTGCCAGGGCCATCATCCCTGTCAAACAATACCATGCGGGACACATTCGTTTTTTCTTCGCGCGCGCACGCCGTCGTCGTCGGCCGCGGGGCCCTGAATAGTAGCCACGGTCGTCCGCATGCCACGAAGTGAAGTGTCCGAACGTCATAGGGCGGGAAGCTGGGTGTGGGTGGTGGCGAAGAGTCGTTTGGAAATTTGGTAGAGCTTGAACCGGCCCCCCCACAAAGTGGGGGTATTGCCCGCCTCCTATGAAAACCCTGGCACTGGTGAGAACGGTGTGTCCCCACGTGCTAGTAATTGTTGTTGTTGTTGTTGTTGTTGTTGTTGTTGTTGTTGTTGTTGTTGTTGTCGTTATTGTCGTTCTTGTCGTTCTTGCCGTTTTCGTAGTCGTTGTCGCTGTTGCTGTTGCTGTTGTTGTTGCTGTTGTTGTTGTTGTTGTTGTGGTTGTTGTTGGTGGTGGTGGTTTTGTTGTTGTTGTTGTTGTTGGTGCTGGTGTCGGTGTTGGTGTTGAATGTTAGTTACTAAACAATTATTATAGTCGGACCCCCCCCCAGGCGCTTTGGCGCTCTCGCCTCGGCGCCGGCTGCATTTTTATTGAAAATGAGGCTCACGCTCGAGCGGTTTGGAGGGGCGCCCACACCGGCCCCCCAACAACATTAATGCTCCTGCTCGAGATGTCCTCTTTTTTTTGCTCTGCTCGCCGCTGCAAGCCTCCGTCCCAACAAAACCAGCGCTCCCGCTCGAGCCTTCCCTCCGTTTTACCTTGGACTGGCGCGCTACTCTTTCTCTCATCGGCGCCGCCTCCATCAGCAACAACGCTCCCGCTCGAGACGTCCTCCCTTCTTTACTCAAGGCGGTGCTCCTCCCCGCCGCCGAAAACCGCCGTCCCGACAAAGCCAGCGCTCCCGCCCGAGACTTCCTCCTGTTTTACGCTGGACTGGCGCCCTACTCTCTTTTGAACTGGCGCCGCTCCCAGCAAGAACAAGGCTCCCGCCCGAGGCTTCCCTTTTTCCTCAGGACGGTGTTGTGCCTCGCCGCCGACAGCCCCCGTCCCGATAAAATCGCGGCTCCCGTTCGAAATTTCCTCCCTTCTTACTCAAGGCGGTGTTCTTCAACGCCGCCGACAACCGCCGTCCCAACAAAACCAGCGTTCCCGCTCGAGACTTCGTTCTGTTTTACGCTGGACTAGCGCCCTACTCTCTTCAGCATTGGCGCCGCTCCCAGCAACAACAGCGGCCCTGCTCGAGACTTCCTCCCTTTCTATTCAGGGCCAGGTCCTTGCCTCGCTGCCGACAGCCCCCATCCCCGCCAAGGCAATCCTGTCGCTCGATACCTCCGTCTGCTTTTCCCTTGGCTGGGGCTCCAGTGGGGGTCTCGCATCGGCGCAGCAAGGCGCGGGCATGCGTTTTCGAGGCGGGATATGTTGAAATTCCTCGGAGGAGGTGTTTGCAAGACCTCATTGGGCGGGAGATCTGGGAATGGGAACAACGGACCCCGCTATAGGACAAGAGTCCCCCATCATGGGGATGGTTATCATGATGGTCGCATGCTTCGTGTGGAAACATCGCGCATGAAGGTAGCACGATTGTTGTTGTTGTGGTTGTTGTAGTTGTTGTGGTTGTTGCTGTTGAATTTTCAATCACTAAGCAATTACTATTGTCGGAACCCCCCCAGGCGCTTTGGCGCTCTCGCCTTGGCGCTGGCTGCATTTTCATTGAAAATGAGGCTCACGCTCGAGCGGTTTGGGGGACCGCCAAAACCGGCCCCCCAACAACAACGTTCCCGCTCGAGACTTCTTCGGCTTTTTTCAAGGCCGGTGCTCTTGCTCGCCTCCGAAAGCCTCCGTCCCAACAAAACCAGCGCTCCCGCTCGAGACTTCCTCCCGTTTTACCTTGGACTGGCGCGGTGCTCTTTCTCTCATCGGCGCCGCCCCCAGCAACAACAACGCTCCCGCTCGAGACGTCCTCCCTTTTTTACTCAATGCGGTGCTCCTCCCCGCCGCCGAAAACCGCCGCACCGACAAAGCCAGCGCTCCCACCCGAGACTTCCTCACGTTTTACGCTGGACTGGCGCCCTATTCTCTTTTGAATTGGCGCCGCTCCCAGCAAGAACAACACTCCCGCTCGAGGCTTCCTCCCTTTTTCCTCAGGACGGTGTTGTTCCTCGCCGTCGACAGCCCCCGTCCCGACAAACCACGGCTCCCGCTCGAGACTTCCTCCCTTCTTACTCAAGGCGGTGTTCTTCAACGCCGCCGACAACCGCTGTCCCAACAAAACCAGCGTTCCCGCTCGAGACTTCGTTTTGTTTTACGCTGGACTAGCGCCCTACTCTCTTCAGCATTGGCGCCGCCCCTAGCAACAACAGCGGCCCTACTCGAGACTTCCTCCCTTTCTATCCAGGGCCAGGTCCTTGCCTCGCCGCCGACAGCCCCCATCCCCACCAAGGCCATCCTGTCGCTCGATACTTCATTGTGCTTTACCCTTGGCTGGGGCTCCAGTGGGGGTCTCGCATCGGCGCAGCATGGCGCGGGCATGCGTTTTCGAGGCGGGATATGTTGAAATTCTTCGGAGGAGGTGTTTGCAAGACCTCATTGGGCGGAAGAGCTGGGAATGGGAATAACGGACCCCGCTATAGAACAAGAGTCCCCCATCATGGGGATGGCTATCATGATGGTCGCATGCCTCGTGTGGAAACATTACGCGTGAGGGTAAAATGATTGTTGTTGTTGTGGTTGTTGTTGTTGATGATGTTCTTGTTGTTGTTGATATTGTTGTTGCTGAATATTCATTTGTAAAGAATAATGGTTGATCTCCGGAAGCGGCTCAGCGCGCTCTCGCCTCGACGCCGGCTACATTTTCTCTGAAAACGAGGTTCCTTCTCGAGCGATTGCGTGAGCCTAAATGTGGGCCCTTGGAGGCCCAGCTACGACGACAACGGCTCCATTTACCCCGAGACACCCTGGCCAGAGAGGCCCCCGAACTCGGGAACGGCGCTCTCGCTCGACACTTCCTCGCAAGTCAATCAGGTTGACGGAGGCCCAGCCACGACGACAACGGCTCCTGCTCGATACCCCCAAATTACCCCGAGACGCCCTGGCCGGAGAGCCCCCCGAACTCAGGAACGACGCTCTCGCTCAAGACTTCCTCAAAATTCAATCAAGCTGGCAAAGGCCCAGCCACGACGACAAGGGGGGCTGCTGCTCGATACTTCCTCGTGGTTTACTCCGAGAGCCCCCGGGCAAGAACCCCCTCGATCTCATGAACCGCGTTCTCGCTCTACACCCTAGGCGATGCTTAAGAAAACTTAAGTTTTCGGCCAGAGTCTCGATGATTCTTAGTGTTTCAATGTGAATCCTAAGATTTTCATGGACATGTTGGGTTTTTATTCAAGTTCTGAGACTATGAATTTCTTAACCCATGATTTCTCAAGCATTTCGCAGGGTGTAGACTTTCTCGTAATTCAGGCAAGTTGGTGGAGGCCTAGACACGGCGACAGGGGTTCCCGTTCGATATTTCTCCTCGTCTATTCCGAGGGCCCTTGGCCAGAGAGGCCTCCGAACTCAGGAACGGCGCTCTCGCTCGAGGCCTCCTCGCACTTCAGTCAGTGGCCGACACGGGAGTGATTCCCCCCGAATGGGGGTGCAATCGAAGACGAAGTGGGTGGGTATCGAAGGATGGGGTATACGGAATGCAAGACACGCGTGCCAGTAAGAGCGAACAGTCTTAAAATGGCTGTTGCTGCTGAGGGTTAATTATTCAACAAGTATTATTGTTGGACCCCCCAAGCGCCATGGCGCTCTCGCCTCGGCGCCGGCTACATTTTCATTGAAAATGAGGCTCACGCTCGAGCGGTTTTGGGGGGCGCCAAACCGGCCCCCCAGCAACAACAACAACGCTCCCGCTCGAGACTTCCTCTTGTTTTACTCAGGCTGGGCCAGTGCTCATGCTCGCCGCTGAAAGCCGCCGTGCCGTCCCAACAAAACCGGCGCTCCCGCTCGAGACCCCCCCCGTTTTAGCTTGGACTGGCGCGCTAGTCTTTCTCTCATCGGCGCCGCCCCCAGCAACAACAACGCCCCCGCTCGAGACGTCCTCCCTTTTTTACTCAAGGCTGTGCTCCTCCCCGCCGCCGAAACCGCCGCCCCGACAAAGCCAGCGCTCCCGCCCGAGACTTCCTCACGTTTTACGCTGAACTGGCGCCCTACTCTCTTTTGAATTGGCACCGCTCCCAGCAAGAACAAGGCTCCCGCCCGAGGCCTCCTCCCTTTCTTCTCAGGACGGTGCTGTTCCTCGCCGCCGACAGCCCCCGTCCCGACAAAACCACGGTTCCCGCTCAAGACTTCCTCCCTTCTTACTCAAGGCCGTATTCCTCCTCGCCGCCGACAACCGCCGTCCCAACAAAACCAGCGTTCCCGCTCGAGACTTCGTTCTGTTTTAAGCTGGACTAGCGCCCTACTCTCTTCAGCATTGGCGCCGCTCCCAGCAACAATAGAGGCCCTGCTCTAGACTCCCTTTCTATTCAGGGCCAGGTCCTTGCCTCGCCGCCGACAGCCCCCATCCCCACCAAGGCAATCCTGTCGCTCGATACTTCGTTGTGCTTTACCGTTGACTTGGACTCCATTGGCGGTCTCGCATTGACGCAGCAAGGCGCGGGCGTGCGTTTTCGAGGCGGTACATGTCGAAATTCTTCGGAGGAGGTGTTTGCAAGGGTTTCATTGGGCGGGAGATCTGGGAATGGGAATAACGGACGCCGCTGTATAACAATAATCCCCCGTGATGGGATTGCAATCATGATGGTCGCATGCTTCGTGTGGAGTCATCGCGCATGAGGGTAGCATGATTGTTGTTGTTGGCGTTGTTGTTGTTGTTGTTGATGATGTTATTGTTGTTGTTGTTGTTGTTGTTGGTGGTGGTGGTGGTGGTGGTGGTGGTGGTGGTGGTGGTGGTGTTGTTGTTGTTGTTGTTTTGATGTGTTGCTTGTTTTTTTGTTTCTCTCTATCTCTCTGTATATATAGATACAACCTGCACGTGCGAGCCTGCGAACCTCCAGCCACCCACCCTCCGTCCAATTCCCCCCCCCCTGCCCTCCCTGCACCGCACGGCAGAGCGCCGGCGTTTCCCGCCCCAGCTGGCTTGCGACAGCTGCGAGAACGCCGGGCAGGAGGAGAAGAGGGCCACCCTCGTAGAATTCTGGTGAGTGGAGAGGAGGAGGGAGAGGAGGAGGATGAGGGGGAGGAAGAGGAGGAGGAGGAGGAGGAGGAAAAAGAGGAGGCAGATGAGGAAGGGGAGAGGAAGGTGGAGGAGGAGCGGGAGGGAAGAAGGAACGGAGTGGCAAGAGGAGGAGGAGGAGGAGGAGGAGGAGGAGGAGGAGGATCAGTGTGAGCCCAAGACGCACCAACGATGGTGCAATCCAACTTCTCTCCAAGTTCACTCTGCATGGATCCCTTCAAGGGGTTATTCTGATTGTAGGATGTGCCACATTGTAAGACGACCTCTCATCACGCCCAAATGCAATTCCTGGGACTTCCAAGCCGCGAATCAACGTGACCGTTGCGTCCTGTCAATCCTCAATTGTGCCAGGGCACCTTCCTGGGACTTCAACAGCGTGGATCAACGTGATCGTTGCGTCCTGATAATCCTAAATCGTGCCCCGAGACCATTCCTGGTAATTCAACCATACGAATCCTTGGAACTGCTGCGAACGTTTAAGTCGAAGCTGCGCGGCGCTAGCGCAAGACCCACATTGTGGAAACGACCCCCCTCCCATCCTTCAAGCCACTGCAAACTTTTGAGGCGAATGTGCGCGGCTGTATCGCGAGAGCCACACTAAACAACAAACTATAAACATACAAGCTACCACTGTTCATCCTTGAACTTGCTACACACGTTTAAGACGAAAGCGCGTGGCGCAACGACGAGAACCATATGTTGAAAGCCACCCGCCCTCCACCTGTGAAACTGATGCGGCCTTGAAGCTTCATAGTCACATATGGTGGGACAGTCTCAGGCGAAACGCCTGGCCCGCCCTACAGACACGTCTGGGGTGCGACAGGGAGGAGTTGTTTAGAAAGACATGGGATGGAGGAGGAGGAGGAGGAGGAGGAGGAGGAGGAGGAGGAGAAGAAGAAGGAGGAGGAGGAGGAGGAAGAAGAGGAGCAGGAGGTGGAGGATGAGGACCAGGCATGGGTTCATCGATCGACCGAGCCTGCCCCCAGCGTCGAGCGTCGAAGATGAGGAGGAGGCTAAAGAGGGAGGAGTGGAAGAAGAAGAGGGACCAGGAGGGAGGAGAGAGGAGGCTGGAGCGCGGAGGAGGACATCAGAGATCGGAGAGGGCCCTGGCTGGATCCGGCGCGCTCGAGGGTGTGCCAGAGCGCCTCTGTCTGGAGGGCGGCGCCGTCTGCCGCCGGCCCCCCCCCCCCCCCGAGGCCGAGCCGACCCGTGGCTGTCTTTTGGGGCAGCCTGCGCGGCGGAGGGGCCTCCCGGAGGCACTGTGGGAGGCCTCTCCGGGGCCCACCGTCGGCCCATCTCGGGGGAGCGCCTGGGGCTGCCTTGGGACCTCTTTTGGGGGGCCCAGGGGGCCTTCGGGGGGGAATGTCGGGACCGTCTTCGGCCATCCTGGGCTAGTTGGGCGGCCCCTTGAGGCCTTCATGGGGCCACCAGCCTGAGCGCCCTTCTTGGGCTGCCTCGAGGGCTCTGGGGCTGTCGTGGAGTGACTGGTTGGGGCGTCTTGGGAGCAGAACATGAACATACACAACATCAAGAACACATTATGGCTTGTCAGTGCTGTTTGCCCTCCTGGGGGTATCTCGGGGACCTTGTGGGCCATCTTAAAGACATCGTGGAGCCATCTTCGGTCGTCTTGTGTTCTTGAGGCCCTCTTCGGAGCACCTTGGGGCCGTCTCAGAGGCTTCAGGGGTTCTCTTGCCTGTATGGTTGCGCCCCCTACGGAAATTCTGTAACAGCCTGGATCGGCCAGGAGGCCGAGCTCCCTTGCCAATGTGTTTTTTCCCTGGCGCCCCCCCCGCCCGTATTCCCAGGAAACAGTAGAAAGGAGACATATTGAAGGGACAAAATACTGGAGAGACAAAAGACAAGAAAAACAAAACATGAACAGATACAAACTCAGCAGTCCAGCAGTTCTTGTCACAGCGTTGCGCCCACGAGGGAGGCCGGCGGATATTGGTTTGCAGAGGGAGAGGGGGAGGAGGAGGAGGAGGAGGAGGAGGAGGAGGAGGAGGAGGAGGAGGAGGAGGAGGAGGAGGAGGAGAAGAAAGAGAGGAGGAGGAGGAGGAGGAGGAGTTTGAGGAGGAGGAGGAGTGGGAGGAGGAGGGGGAGGAGGAGGAGGAGGAGGAGGAGGAGGACCAGTGTAAATTCAAGACGCATCAACGGTGATGTAAGAATCCTCCCTTCAAGCTCCCTCTGCATAGGTGCCTAGAAGAACTGCTCGATTGCAGGACGTGCCCATTGGAAGACAACGGCTTGAGAACTCTCAATCGTGCAAAGACGCCAACTCTGGGACTTCAACTGCGCGAATCAACGGGACTGTTGCGTCCTGGCAGTCTTATTTTGCGCTAGAGCAGCATCCCCTGGGACTGCAACACCGTGGATCAACGTGACTGCTGCGCCCTGACAATACTAAATCAAGACATGCCTGGGATTCCGACCGTATGAGTCCCAGAAGCTGCTGCGAATTTTAAAGACACGTGTGCGCGGCGCTTTTGCGAGATCCATGTATTGGAAAGGAATCGCCCTCCATTCGTGAAACGGATACAATGTGTTAAACGAATTTGCGCGGCGTTCTGGCGAGAACCGACCGCATTTTGAGAGCGAGCCTCCCTCCAGACTTGAAACTGCACACTTTTACGACGAATGTTCGCTGCGCTTGGGCGAGAGCCATCCTTTGAACACGACACGCCCTCCATCCGTCGAACTGCTGCAAAGTTATAAGACGAGTGCACGTGGCGCAGTGGCCAGAACCAGATTTTGAAAACGACCCGGCCTCCACCCGTGGAACTGATGCAAACCTGAGGCCTCAGGATCACAAGTGGTGGGAAAGTCTCGGGCGAAACGCCCAGCACGCCTTCATTACCGACACGTCTGAGGGTGCGACGGGGAGGAGTGGCTCCTCACAGTGAGGGAGCCGAACGGTCCTTCAGTGTCCTTGGGTGCGTAGCTGGAGCGGGGTTCCGCGGAGCGGATTGTTGCTGCGTTGCGTTGCTGTCGTCGCCCTCGTCTGCGACCACCCCGCGACCCACCCTGAGACCCACTCGCGACCCGCCCGCGACCCACCCACGCTGCTATGAGGAAACCAGCGGGCTCGTTGTGTAATGTGTGGAGACATGGGCGCCTGCGGCGGGCTCCTACAGAGCTTCGCAGAATGTTGACGACCCCTCCGCCTCCTCACTCTTATCCGCAGCTGCGTGGTGCTATGCTGGGGAAAAAGATGGAGGAGGAGGCAGGAGGTGGAGGGAGGACGAGGAGGCATGGTGGTGGAGGGAGGAGGAGGAGGAGGAGGAGACAGGAGGCAGGAGGAGGAGGAGGAGGAGGAGGAGACAGGAGGCAGGAGGCAGGAGGCAGGAGGCAGGAGGCTGGAGGGAGGTGGGAGGTGGGAGTTGAGAATTGGAGGGGAAGGAGGATTTGAAGGGCTTATTCGGACTCGGGGTGTTCGAGGGTGTGCCACATGGCTTTATGTTAATCTGGAGACAGAGGGCAGCAGGTGGGAGGACGAAGTGGCGGTAAGCAGGCGGAATTTCGTAACGGAGACCCCGAGGTGGACGAGAAGCAGGAGGAGGAAGAGGAGGACGAGAAGCAAGGGAAAGAAGAGGGAGGAAGAGGAGGGCGAGAAAGAGAGTCATAAGGAGCACGAGGAGAAAGAGCAGGAGGTTATGCCTCGACTCCTCGGCCAGCGCTCGATCAGGCCGCTGATCGTTCCAATCCGCCACTTTTGCTGCCGATCAGGACCTTTACTGGCGGGTTTCTCCCGCTGGCTCCCATCTCTGGTCGGCTTTTCCCAAGCGGCGCGTTCATGAGGTAACCCCGGTCCTCGCTGGGAAGAGCTGATCGACGTGGTTGCCCAGAGTTTTGGTTCGGGGTGAATCGGCCGCGCTGGCTTGGGACCCCCTGAGATCCGACGCCGCGGAAAAATTAAGCATGGTGAACACTCACGACTGGAGCTCTAGACCCAATCTTATTGCGCCATGTTTCGAGCCGGATCGACCTGTGACGGTCCAGAGTCCAGGGGCCCGAAATTTGGCAGCAACTTTGGTTCGAAAAAGCTGAGACGCCAGGATGTCATGGCCAAGAGGCACCCCCAGACCTCCAGCACCACGGAGACCTACAGGCCACCCGCTCTGGGGCGCGAAGATCGGCGCGCCTCGCGCCGCGTGTTGCGTTCTGGGTCAGAGCGGCTGCCCCTCCCGGAGCGAGCGTCGCTGGGACGGGAGGGCGCGGAGATCATCTCGCGCACCGCGTGGCGCGGCGCGCGAAGTCGGGTGGCTTTGCCTAGGCCTCCCCCATGGGGTCGGAGCAGCGAGGGTCGGAGGAGCGCGCCGCCTCGCCGATGGCATCGGCGAGGGGCGGCTCGGTGCGGAAGCCGAGGTTCGCCACCCCGACGGCAGCGGTGCGTCGCCGACGGCGGCTGGGCACCGTGCGGCGCGACGCGCGAAGTCCGGTGACTTACGGTCAGGAACTTCTGGATACCGTCTCGCTCCGCCGGTTCTCCAATTCCTTCTCCTGCTCCTCCTCCTCCTCCTCCTCCTCCTCCTCCTCCTCCTCCTCCTCCTCCTCCTCGCGCGGAGGAGGAGGAGGAGGAGGAGGAGGAGGAGGAGGAGGAGGAGGAGCCCTACCCCTCTGGGCGAGGAACACGCTTCGGCGCGACACGCTATCCAATTCTCGGTCCCCAGGCTGCGACGTCCCGAGCCTGTCTCCGAGCCTCCTGCCCCGCGGGTCGAAGCGACTCTCAAGGGACACACCCACAAGGGCTCCCTCGAGGGCGCGAAGTTATTCGCGCTTCGCGCTTCGCGGTCCTCGTTCCTTCTCCCCCTCCTCCTCGTCCTCCTATTCTCCTTTTGGGAGGGCGGCGCGAGAGCGCGAAGTTATTCGCGCTTCGCGCTTCGCGCAGCGCGAAGCGCGAAGTTGGGAGCCCTAGCAGTATGTTCGGGCGCCATCTTCAGAAGGTCGGCCGGCTGGGTTTCGCGACGAATATCGGCCGTCGCAATTCTTTGCCGAGCTCACCCTCAGACCGCATAGAGCGCAAGCGCTGCCAAGCGGCGCCGTCCCGAGGTTTCAGTTGGCCTTTGTGGGTCGGGGGCAAGACCTGCGCGAGAGCGCCTGCCCAGCCTTGTGGGCGACTCGCGAGGGCCCGATCGGGCCGGACCGACTCGGTCGACCGATCCCCAAAAAAGTTGATACGCAGGTTTTGTGTGTGGGCGCCCGCATCCTTGGCGGGCGCCGCGAATGCCCGGGGCCCAGCATTCGGTTGGTGGCGAACGACTTCGACTCCGCTTTCCAGCCTTGCAGCACGCTTCACTGGGCCCTTGGTTCGCCGTTTGGCAAGTAGTCTTCACTTGCCCTGGCATGGCGACTTCCACTGCCATCGGCACTGGCGGGCCCTGAGGGGGGAGGGCGCAGCGCTATCTAAAGATTGAAACATTGGCTAGTGTTCTTCGCTGCTTAGCGACACGCTATCCGCTTGCAGGTCATTGCTTGTCGCCGGGGCTGCCGCCGCGACACGCTAAGTAAGTAAAAGGTCCTGACCGTGGAAGGCACTTGTCACTGGAGCACCGTGGCGCCCGGTCCTGCCGCGTCACGCCCTCGGCCCCCGCAGCAGGCTCGTCCCGGGCCGCGGGGGCGTCAGGGAAAGCTGCACGGGGCGAGGCGTTTTAAAAAAAATCCCCCGCGGGGCCCGGGGAGCCACGGGACACGGGGAGCTCTCGGCACTGGTCCCGCGCCACTGACGTCCAAGGAACCTGGCGCGACCCCAATCGGGGGAAAGCCAATTGCATGGGCGCACTGCTGGGCGCATCGCTGGGCGCATTGCTGGGCGCATTGCTGGGCGCATTGCTCGGCATTGCTTGGCATTGCTTGGCGTTGCTTGGCATGCTTTGGCATTGCTTTGGCATTGCTTCGGCATTTCTTGGCATTGCGTGGCATTGCTTGGCATTGCTTGGGGGAACCAGGGACGTTGAACTCGAGGAACCCGCAGAACCCGAGGAACCTGGGGAACCCGAGGAACCTCCGAGGAACGGACAACGTAACAAAAGGAGGCACCGGAGGCGGGGATTCCGAGGAACATGTGGGAACCGGGCAAATTAACAATAGGAGCTACCAGGGGCGGGGAACCCGAGGAGCCTCCGAGCAATGGGCAAAGTAACATTAGCAGGCACCAACATTTCACCAAGTAAGAGCCCTTCAGATAAGCCTTGTGGGGAAAAGCACAGAAACGGCATAAACATAATTTCTCGAAGCTCCGCGCGGATTTCTTGGATCTGCGTTGGAGCCTCCTGGCGGAGCCTCGGGCGCCGCCCCCTGGCCCGCTCCGCGCGCCAGGGAGGGGGGGTCCAACGCCGATCCGAGAAATCCGCGCGGACCTCCCGGAAAGCATAATGCTTTCTCGTGTTCTTCTAGGAAGTGTCGCGCCGTCGGATAGTCTGGGTCCGCCGCGGACCTGCCCATGCATCAGGTGTGTGAGTGTGCGTGCAGGAACAGCAGCGCGAGGCACAACGGGTGTATCATCCAGATCTTGTTCCGTCAGGGAAGTCGGCCTTCTCAGAAACAATCACCGAGCATAGTCTGCAGTAAAACGCCCGTCGCGCCCGCCAGAACACAGTGTAGCATCATATTGTATACCGTTGAAGGAAACGCTTGCAACTAACATTCAGGAGCCGCTTCGCGTGACCCCCCTCCGCCCCCCGGCCTTCATATTGAACAAACGTTTCCAGAGAAGCAGAACCAGAAAAGACTTGAGCCCAACATCACGGACGCAATACTTGCTAATGCTCAGGTCGGTGGGTGGAGGGGGGAACGGAAGATGTTGCTTTCTACAGTCAACCCGCACAGTAAGGATGAGTGGCTTTCCCCTGCGGTCCATCCTTAGCCGCTTTCGCTGGCCGCGTCCCGCCCGCAGAGTGTCGGCATTTCCTTCCAAGGCCCTTGCATCCTTACCGTGCATCCTTATTCTACAGGATTGCGGTTGTTCGGACGCTGTTGTTGCCAAGATGTTTCTTTCAACCGTGCGGCCTCCCTCCGGCAGCAGCAGTGTCAAGAGTTGGTTGCCGCTGAGGCGATGCTGTTCGAGCAGATGCGCAGCATGAACAGCTACCTGTGGCTGCAGGCCGCCCCTCCGGGCCCTGCCCCCTCCCTCGGCGCGAAGTCTGTGCGAGAGGGTGGGGCGGTAAATGGGCAAACAGGTAGAAAGTTCTTCAGGTTCGACCTTGTGTTCGCCCCCACCTCCTCCCCCCAGGTTCAAGGTTGGGTCGGGCCTCGCGGAGGCACTGGGTGTTCCACTTTTTCTGTCTTCTCACGCCTGTGCTGCCGAATGCCTGGGACCAGGATTGAATCTGGGGGAAGGGGGAGGGGCGGAGTTAAGGGTTCCACTGTTCTGTCCATCTACGGGGCCGAGAGCTCGGAGGAAATCACGGGCGCCGAGCCCTGGGGGCGGGGGAAGTTCGGAGGAGGAAAAGGTACCGCATACCGCTGCCCTTCCCTCGTTGTCCCCCTTCCGGGCTTCCTGGGTGGCCCTCGTCGCCACCGCTGGATCCGCCTCGAACTTCTGGACAGAACGCACCCCAGGAGACGTCCAGGGAGTAGCGGTATCGTTACTTTGTGGTTCCCCGAGAAGTGAGGAGGGGGCAGGCTTCGTCAGAAGGCTGCGGAGCTTCTCAGAAGCCCTCGCGCCTTCTGGGCATCCCCGTAAGCCTCCTCCGACGAAGCAGGCGGCTCCTCAGAAGGCGCGAGTGCTTTTGAGAAGCCGCGCTGCCTTCTGGGAAGGCCTTCCCTCCCCCCCCGTGGGCTTGCCGCAGTGATCAGGGTGCGGGAGGTCCAGATTCGCAGACCCCCTCGCGTCGTGAACACATCAAGACGGCAGCTTTTTGTCCATGCTCGGCCTCTCGGGGCCCTCACCGGGCCGTGGGACCGTCAGGCAGTTCTTCGGCAGGAAGAGAAAAGGCCCCGGGGAGGGGGTCCAGACCTCTCGGGGTCCACGCTGCGAACAAAGCGCGGTACGACAGGCTCGTGTCGGGTCGACGCGGCAGTGCCCCCGCCGCGGGCGTTCGAGGTTGAGCCCCGCCAGTGGCCCAGAGTCGGCAAGGATGGAACAGTCTGGCAGTCGGGAAGCGGCCAGTCTTGCAAGGTTGATCGACGCACGCGAGGTCAGGAACGAGCGCCAGGGTCGTCACGAGTCAGACCGAGGTTCTTCGTTCGTACCATGAAAGACACGCCGAGCTGCGTTAAGTAGACGGTGTTGAGGACTGCGGTGCCACCTATAGGGTAATGCTTCACGCTTCGCGTATCCCTACCAGCTTTAGGTAATTAGGTTTGGCTCGTAGCCCAGGCTGACTTCGGACGCCGCCTTTGATTTCGCTTGCAACCGCGACAAAAAAGTGACCCCACCAGCCCATTCAGAAGCTCTGCCTATGAGAGCTGACGGGAAATAGAAATCAGAGACACATGTAGTGAAACAGAGCGGGCAATGAGAGGAGGGGAAGGAGGGCGTTGAGCCATTTTGGAGTATCGGGACATCTTGGGGACATTTTGGAGGGCATCGATCAAATGAGGAGGGGTCCTCGATGTCGCTCCCCCTCCCCCCCCTCAGGAGCCCTCACAATCGCCTCTTGGAACCATCTTCAGGGTCTTTCGCGGGGGTCTTGGGGCCCTCTTGGAGCTCTCTTGGGGCTCTCTCGGGAGCCCTGGAGCGCCTTTTGAGACCATCTTCGAGGCTACCGATCAAAGGGGGGGGGGTCCCGATCTAGGCGCCCCCCCCACCTGGGGCCCTCAACACCGCCTCTTGATGCGCTCTTAGGCCCCTCTCAGGGCGGTCTTGGGCGCTCTTGGGGCTGTCTTGGCTGCCTCTTGGGCCACTCTTGGCGCTCTCTTGGGACATCTTGGGGCCATCTTGAGGCCTCAGAAGCGCATCGGAAGCGAAACGGTGAGAATACGAACAACTTCCATTTTCCTTGGGAATCCTTAGGATTTTGGCTTCTCGAGGAGGTCCTGGGGGGGTCTCCCAGGGCACTTCTCGTCTTGTGGCCCTCATGGGGCCTCTTGGAGGCATGATGGAGGTAATCTTGATCAATCTTGCGCTATCTTGGAGGACATCTTGGAGCATCGGAGGCCCTCTTGGAGCCATCTTGGGCGAAAAAGGGCCCTTTAACGATCCGTGACCCCCTCCCAAACACGCCTAGGAGGGGAGGGGGAGGGTACCCCTCCCCGAAGGGAAGAGGGGGTTCTATGTGACGAGGAGAGAAAGATATCGTTAGACCACGCCCAGAGGGCTGGTGGAACTACTGCTTTTTGTCCGCGGCACCCGCTGGGCAACAACGACGACGACAGCTACGACTACGATTGCGACTACGACAACAAGGGAGGCGGCGGAGGAGGAGGAGGAGGAGGAGGAGAAGGCTTTAGGACCAGTCCAAAAGCCTCCTCCTCCTCCTCCCCCTCCTCCTCTAAAACAAAATGCAATTAGCGGTCAGGCGCGACACCGACGAGCTGTGTTCAGCAGACACGGCAAAGACCGAAGCCGCTGTGGCTGCTCAGTGCAGGAGGCCGAGGCTCGGAGAGACCCCGGGCGTCGTGGCCCGGCCAGCGCCCCGAGGCGCTGCCTTGGTTCCCCCCGCGT